CTGATGAAGCTTCTGGATGGAAGGTGAAACGTCTCAGCACAAAAAAAAGAAACCGTCCAGATGACCCGACTGAACACTGTTGGATTGTATACCTGGATTATTGAGCATGGACTTTGTTGTTTTGAACCAGTTTGACAAAACTGTCGACGAGGGAGAGGGCGGGCACTGGAGGAGAAAGGCCATCTTAGCACCAAATAACTGTAGCCCCCTCAGGTCGTCATCTCCCCGGCGCCGAGCTCCGCCGGTCACCGAAGAAGATCCTCCGTGCTGCCCGGGCCCCAGCCTCGCGTGCTCATGAAGGCCGACCCCGGGCAGACGGGCGGACCGGGACGGGTCTGGGACGGAGGATGGAAAATTAAAAAAATATATATTTTATGTATAAAAAAATAATGTATTTTTCTTATCAGTGAAGATTAAGAAAATAAATAAACGGTGCCGGCTTTATCATGAAATCCTCTTTTCAATTTAATTAAAAAATTTAATTTTTTGGCTATTAAATAATCTGTTAAAGTTAACTCAATTGAAAAATCATAAAAAGACATTATTGGATCTCATGAATATTTCCCTCCAACATGTTTAAAGAAGAGACACGGCCTTTAGCTCAACTTTATTCTAACTCACAGATGAACAAATCACTAAACAAGAATTAAACTTTAAATCAAAGATAAATAAAAAAAAAATATGAACAAGAAACAAAACCACACAAATCAATTAAACATTAAAAGACACAATGAGTGCGAGAGAAAAAAAAGATACAATTTTAAATATAGATGTTTTTGTAGAATCTGGTTCATCAGAGATTTAATGGTGAATTAAAGTTCATTAAAACTTCATTAGCAGGATTTATATACATATATTTATATACACACACACACACACACACACACACACACACACACACACACACACACACACACACACACACACACACACACACACACACACACACACACACACACAAAGCTATATAGACAGATATGGCAGGTAAAGTCAATTTGAACCCCGCCCACTAGAACCATTACTGAAAGTTTAATGGAAACACACCGTGTACCGTACCAAGTCGAACCGTGCTGTACTGGTACTAAAGGTACTAATGGAAAAGGGGCATAAACAGGTCTAAATAAAGTACCACCCAGAGCCTTTAACAGCTCCTCTCTGAATTTCTCACAACATTCTTCCTTCTTCATCTTCCACCATTTGGTCTTCTTCTCTGATTTGACTCTTTTTCTCTTCTTCACAACAACAGTCATTCTACACACAACCATCCGATGCTGTCTGGCCACGCTCTCCCCTGCCACAACCTTACAGTCTCCAATCTCCCTCAGGTTTCCTCTTCTACACAGAATGTAGTCGACCTGCGTACTCCTTCCTCCACTCTTATAGGTCACTCTATGCTCCTCCCTCTTTTGGAAACAGGTGTTGACTACAGCCATTTCCATTCTCTTGGTGAAATCCACCACCATCTGTCCTTCCTGGTTTCTTTCCTTGACACCAAACCTACCCATCACTTCCTCATCCTCTGTTTCCTTCACCAACATGTCCATTCAGGTCTGCTCCCATCACCACTCTCTCCTCCCTGGGAATACTCTCTATCACTTCATCCAGATCTTTACAAAATGTATCTTTCTCCTCCTCATCACATCCAACCTGTGGAGCATAACCACTGACAACATTTAGCATCAGACCTTCTACTTCAACCTTCAGACACATCACCCTATCTGACACTCTTTTCACCTCTACTACATTCTTTGCCAACTCCTCCTTCAGGACCATCCCTACTCCATTCCTCTTTCTATCCACACCATGGTAAAACAGTTTGAACCCTGCTCCAATGCTGCGAGCCTTGCTGTCCTTCCACTTGGTCTCTTGGACACATAAAACATGTACCTTCCTTCTCAGCATCATGTCAGACAGCTCTCTACCTTTCCCTGTCATTGTCCCCACATTTAGAGTTGCATTCGGGCCTAAAAAAATCCGACCCGGCCCGAACCCATATAATTTTTTCCTAGCCCGACTTGAAACCGACCAATTAACTGTGATTACTGGCCCCAAACCCAATGAAATAATAATAATAATAATAATAATAAATTTTAAGCTTTTACTGGTTTTGTAAGCAAATCAGTTTGACATGATTTAAAATATTTCAAAGAAAGGAAGATAAAAGATTTGTTTTTTTTTATCAACAGTCAGCAAATTATTATAGTTATTATAATATTATAGTTATTATAGTAATTAACGGTCGGCAGATGCGCACGGCCGATGATCCAAATTGGGTTATTGGCCGCGTGCATCCGCCGACCAGCGGCTGAGTCCAGTTAGCTTCAGGCGGGTCGCTGGCACTGTGATCCATGTGGACCAGGATCCGGGCTCTCAGACCCGAACAGAGAATTCAAAACATCAGACTTACTCAGATTATCTTCAGTTACAACTGTTTTCCCGTGGAGGGAAAAGTCCTGACCCTCCTCCATGACGTGCTGTTTTCAACAAAAGACACAACTTCAGATTTAAACGTTACAATCATAAATAAACAAAGCTTGTTTATCATCAATCTTAAAAAGACTATTAAATAATAAGCAAGTAGATCAGATAAGTTATTCTAGCATTAACGGATGATTCATTTTGAAGGGTGTATGGTAATTGTTTTTAATTCAACCTTTATTTCTACAGGTTAGTCTCATTGAGCCACGAGGACTCATCTTCAAGACCTGTTCCACTTATAAACTACAAACATCCTAATAAATGAGGACAATTTAAGTAACCCTGGCTACAGTCTCTTTATTGTTAGTAACATTTTACAAAGACGCATGCTGCTGTGCTTCGAGGTCTAAATTTATTACGCCTTGTTTGTTAGCGAACACAAAGTTTAAAGAATACTTTAAACTTTAAATACTGTTTCTAGCTAGCCTGGGCTTGTTGTTAGCCACTTGCTGCTGTTAGCGCTCGTTTTTACAACAGGAAACAGAACTACCTACAATCTTTTAATGCAGAATTAACTCGAGCTAAATACTCGTACTAATTGCTTTTACATTTATAAACATTTTAGATTAACAAAGTATATGCCGGTATAATTTTTTTAAGAAGCGCTTTACCTTGAGATGAACACAACACGTTCAGATGGTTAAAAAAATTATACTAAAACTGTTCAGTGATTGGTCAGTTTTATAGAAGGCGGGCTTTTGTTGAGACTTTAGCCAATCAAAATTAGAAGGCGACCTGTGTTTTACTGTTTAGTGATTGGTCAATTAACAGATGGGGGGGGGGCTTTGTGGACCTCGACCAATCACAACAGGGGTGCGAAATGCATTCTGGGTCCGTGTACGGTTAGCGGCAGCTAGTTAGTCAAGGTAAAGAAAGGCGTTTATTTAAAACATTACCGGTACTTATAATTGCTACTCGTACAGCATCGATTTATATATTATGTTCTTCTAAAATTGTAAATTTAACTAATTGACTTTATAATAAAATCTATGGTTTTACTGAAGCTAGTCGGCTTCAATATTATCTTCCGCTTGTAAACAATCGAGGCTGCGCGCGCAGCTTGATGTAAACCAAAGGGAATTTATCAAAGGATCAAATTCTGATTATAACCTGTACAATGTTTTTGGGTTTGAACTGTAATGTACCATGAAGATAAAACTGGCAGATTAACCTGTAAATTAAAATATTTTTATCATCATTAACACAAAACTGCAGCCGAGAATTGTTCCTGTGAAAATCATAAAGTGACTTCCTCTTCTGTACATTTAAATCAAAACAGAGCTCTGAAGAATAAGGTTTGTTGCTTTTTATAGGCCTTACTGATCGGCTTCTTTTATTTTAGGTGTTTATGTCTCTGATGTCCTGATGTCTGGTCTTGGACGAATAAAACCAAGATAGCAGCAACGATGGAGGATTCTGTCTCGGACGCTTCCAGTCAGAGGGAGAGGGAAGAGGAGCCCCAAGCTGCTGGTCAGGAAGAACACGGACCAACGTCAAAGAAAACCTCTTTAAAAAGGAAGTCAAAGGTGAAAACAAAGAAGCAGAAAAAGGCCCGGTTATCCCGGCCCGACTACACCGTCCATCAGGGCGAAGACATGCTTCTGGTCATATCGAATGCTTCGTCTCAGTACGTCGGTTCTGTCTGGACTCCTAAAAAGAAAGGAAGCAAAAAGAAGAAGACCCTTAAAGGAAAGGTCAAACGGGATCCAGTAAAGAAAATTAAATCAGTCCGGGGAAAACCTAAAGTGGGAATTAAACCAGCGGAGGAGGAAGACGAGGACAGGACGTTCTCTGATGCTGGAGACAGATGGGGACAGGACTTACCTGAGGAGGTGCTGGTCAATATTTTTCAGATGGTGGTGGTTCAGGACGGCGCCGTTCCTTTCTTGTGCAGGTATCTTCTGATCTGGTGCTTGATTTAGTTCCAGGAACGTTAAACTCAAACTCGCAGATGTTTCTGGATCAAATCTCTGGTTAGTTTATGGAATTTGTTCCAGAACTTGATTCTAATTTACCAACCTTAACCTTGCCAGAAGGTTTGAGTTTATAATCTGATCTAAACTGCAGCTAAAAAATGAATACATTTATCCAGAACCTTGTGGTGAAAACGTCCCGTTTCGAACGGTTGGACAACATCGGGTCGGTGTTTTGTGGCCCTCTGCTGTGTTTGTGATGCAGGATGGGGAGGGTTTGTCGTCTGTGGAACGCCGCCGCCTCCAGCCCGGTTCTGTGGCGCAGGGTGACCGTAGGCCACTGCTGGATCGGATCGGGGAAGAGTCAGCTTCCTAAAACTGAGATGACGATCCAGAACACAGTTTACTGGCTCGCACAGAACAGGTCTGGATTGTTCCTGCTCATACTTTCAGGGTTTGGTTGAGGAGGTTCTGGTTCTGATCACCTGCTGCAGACTTTAAAACACAAATATTGGTGTGAATGTTCCGACTCAGGTGCTTTGTGTACCGTGGTGGAGATGTGAGGTCTGAACTCATGGGGTTTTTCTTTCAGGTTCTCTCAGCTGACGGACTTTTCTCTCTGTCACTGGACAAAGAACATCGACTTCACCTTGGAGGTGAGACGCACTTTCAATCTGCACGTCTCACTTCTACGACCCTCAGCCAAAGAAATCATCTCACTCGGGATTTTATTTGGAAGATTTATTAGAAACTAGAGAAAGTTCAGGTTCGGTGAAAACGCAGAGGGATGCTGGGAGCCGAACAATTTGGCTGAAATTAGCTGAAGAAGCTGAAACCGAGTTGGTAAAATGAAAAACAGAACAGAGGCTCGATGGGCGAATATAAAAAGCCAAAACAGAAACTAACATGAAACACGGTGACCCAGAGAGCGGGACATTGATCACCTGGAACAAAAGACACACAAAGTTCTTTATTTGCTTTGATGCTGCTCAGTAATCCATGTAGATAATCTGATCCATGTAGATAATCTGATCCAGGTAGATAATCTGATCCTTGTAGATAATCTGATCCAGGTAGATAATCTGACCCGGTGGAGTCAGGTCCTCTGGACGGATTCTTCTTCTTCAAACGTTTCTTCTTTTATCCCAAAGACTTCTTCAGAGATCACCAGGCCAGGACTCTGCAGACCAGTGGTCCCTCTCGGGGATGAAGAACCCATCCAGAGTAGAGTTGCATTCGGGCCCAAAAAATCTGACCCGACTCAGCCCAGTCATAATCTTCAAACCCCACCCGACAAATTAACAGTAATTACAGGTCCAAACCCAGAAAAAACCTGACATTTTTAATTAGGTCGGGGACGTGCGGCTGAATGAAAGATTCAAAACTGAGAGGGTGTTTGTCCTTTCATGGCCGCAGAGCATTTAAACCTGTTGATTTATTCAGACATGGACCCTGCTCTGCTTTGGGATCTCACCCGTTTGGGTCTTCGGCCGCGCGCGTCCGCAGAGTGCAGCGGCTGAATGAACGTCCGTTTGGGCGATGGATCGCTGCCTGGCAGTACAGTCCATCTGAAGCTTAACAGAACTTTTTAACTCTTTCAGGGCCGGTCAGCTCGCGGTGAAATTGTGCGACTGGTGATGGTATGGCAGGCCATGTTATTATATAATTGGATAGCAGCTGATCCTGACCCAATTAAAAGCCCGGCCCGCCCATCCAGCACATTATCATGACCCGATCTGCCCCGAATTCGGGTCAGGTGGGGCTGGGTTTAGGGCTCGGGTTAGAAATGACAGATCTAGTCCAGCGGACCTGACTCTACCTCGTTAGATTCATCCTGGATTACTGAGCAGCAGGACCTTTAGTTTCTTTCTTTACACGCCTACGTGCACAAGTCGCCTCAATGAGAACTCGCATGAAAGATATGACAACTGTTTTATGCCGGATGCCCTTCTTGACTCAGCCTGGGCTCAACCCAGCGACCCCAGGATTACGAGGCTGCAGCACTGAACCACCGAGCTACCGCAGCCCTTTATATGTTATTTTTATTCATATTTATTACTATGGGAAGTTTATTTTTAATAAAGTTGAATGTTTTGAAAAGTATAAGGAAAAAAAAAAAGCCGAATGTTTTGGTTTATGAACAGCTAAAACTGCAGGTTCAGCTGAAGTTGTAAAAGACGGTGCAGAGAACTAGAGACAGGAAATCAGCAGCGTGGTGCTGACTCAGCGTTCGGCAGTAAAACGGCTCGTTCTGTATTTGATGGACGTTCCGTCCGTCTGTGGTCCCGTCCAGGTGGTGTCCCGGCTCTGTCCTCGTCTCCGCTCCATCAGGCTGTCCTACTGTAAAGGTGTGACGCTGAAGGCCTTCCACAGCCTCGGCCTCCACAGCCGCCGCCTGCAGAGCCTCAACCTGCAGCAGTCTGAGGTGATCCAAACGTTTCTCCTCATCACAACCTCCATGTTTACACTCACGGTTTCTAAACTCTTCCAACCTGCTGCAGTTCCAGGTGGAGGGACTGCAGGAGTACCTGGAGCATCACGGGAACCAGATGAGGGAGCTGCTCTTCACTCATGGACTGAAGACCGACAGACTGCTGGCAGTTATCACCGTACGGTAGTTTCCTCCGTGCGTTAACGTCTGTGATGAGCGCAGTCCTGGAGCTCAGCTTTGTTTTTCCTCAGCGGGGATGCTGTCCGGGCCTGGAGCTGTTGGAGGTCAACAAAAAGCTGGACAGTAAGGACGGGGAACTTCCTGTTTGCGTCCAGCAGCTTCAGATGGCCTGTCCTAAACTGAAGGTCCGAATGAACCCGTTTCATTTGAGGGTCACGGCTCTGACTCTTCACTTCACCGGTTGCTTCTGTTTCCAGACCTTCCGCATGCTGAACGTCCGACTCCTGAACAAAGCGAGCCGTAACGGAGTCGTGTCGGCGGCGGGCTTCCCGCTCCTGGAGGAGCTTTGCATCGCGACCGCGTCCCACTCCTACCTGACGGACAAAGACCTGAGGGACGTGCTGTTCGGGTCCACCATGCTGAGAGTCCTGGACCTGCGAGGATGCTCCCGGATCTCCACGTCTGCTCTGGCTGCGTTACCGTGTCCCGGTGAGAAACACGCCTGTTTCAACGTGAACTGCAGGATGTTCAGATTCAAATGATCCAGAATTATTTAGGACTCTGCTGCAGGTTGACCTGTTTCTGTTAGCAAAATATCTCGCTGATCCTAATGAAACTTTCAGGAAATAATCTTTGGATGCAGCGAGGCCTTTAATACGAGGCAGAAATAAACCGTAAAAAAATAAAAAGATCCATCCATCCATCCATTAATTCATCCATTCATCCATCCATCCATCCATTAATTCATCCATTCATCCATCCATCCATCCATTAATTCATCCATCCATCCATTAATTCATCCAT